GTTATTCAAAAAACAACCACCTGCCTTATATTTTGGGATCGATATTACTTATTTATCATTTGGTTTCAAGAATAAAGTAAAATTAATTTCTAGAAAATATTTAATTACTTATTCTATTAGTGCAATACATGATCTCTATTCACTTTTATTGAATTCAACAAATGAATCAATGACCATCGAGCATATTTTCTTCACTGGATGCCTTAGTCAGTTATTTACTTATTGAGAAAAAAAATCTTAGTAAATTATCTAACAAACTTATAATTCCTCGTTAACATTCACTTAATTTATTCTCTAGATTATTCGATTCTTTTTCTTGATGAATATCGAACTACACTTGAAGGTATTATGATAACAATGAAATGTTTATCTTCATTTCTATAATTTATTCAGCTATTCATCAACATAATGAACCATTTGGGGATACACCTGATTCTTGATTTAAAACCAGAACATGAATGTGCATTTCTAGCTCATTCATTTCTTAGTGAACTTCAACTTTATGTCGATACTATTGAACTAGCTAGTTGTCGATAACCAATTCTCTGTAATGGTAAATTAATCTGATAGGAGAACTGTTTCCAGTGATAATCCTTGTGAGAGAATGATCTGAAATTTCATGTTCTTCTTATTATTCCTGATCAATATCAATGTGATTTATTATTACTTGATGATCATTTATTTGCATATTTTTAGTTATCATACATATTATCTTTATTAACCAATCCATGGAAAAATTTATGTTCATTTGATGAAACTATTCGTTATATAATTCTTCTACATCATTGTTTTAGTTTAATAAAACAAATCATTCAATTAATCAAAATTCTTGTTCAATACAAACAATTGAAAGGCGAATTTTTATTTTCACATCAAAATCTTTGTTATTGGTCAATTCGCTTAGTTCGATTAATATTCGAACCTGGAGCATTATCAAGACATGTTATTCTCAACACTTTCATCTGTTTTACATCTATATAGTAATTGTTGATAGATCATCTGCGATTGATTCTTTATTAGCCTTCACATATCATCTTATCAAATGTGTAAGAAAAACCATAAGATTTGATAATGAAATTATTGGAAATTATTTTCAGATTCATCTCATAGCAATGATTATGCATTTGTATTGTGATATGAAGCGATTTTATTCACATATATGGTCCTATCATCTACATTTGTTCTTATTTATTAGTTTTTTCACAGTTCTTTGTCATATTTGTTGTGCTACAATATTTCTTGAAAATGATGCTTCTTTTTTATTCCTTTTCCATTTCTGTCCTGCTATGCAATCCTGTAAAATGACTTTATAGCCTTGTTACAGAGATCCAACATCCTCTTAATACATATAGCAGTGCTTGGAGAGGCCTTAGGCATACATGTATGTCTCTATCTTAGTCTAACACGTACGATAGAGATACATGTGTAGTTGCCCAAAAATGCCTCAACACGGTCTGTCGATGTCTTTGATCACGTGCACGAGAAGAGCAATATTCTATACGAATAAAACAAAGAAATTTATTGTAGCAAAAGAAAAAGTAAACGAAAATTTCTTTTTCACACTCTCAACATCTCTTTTCGATCATGCGACATGCAGATGCGTTGGAGAGTGAGTTTTCGCCAAGATGTCACGCATTTTTTCGTAAAACGATTTTGCTTCCGACTGCTTGCCCATTTTTTCATATACTAAACCAATATTCTTGTAGGAAGAAGCCAGGTCGGGATGGTTTGGAGAAAGAAGTTTTAGGCGGATATCCAATGCTTTTTTGTAAAGTAAAAGTGCTTTTGAATAGTCACTCATGTTATAATAAACATTGCCAATGTTGTTGTATGAGTCAGCCAAGTCGGGATGGCTCGAAGGAAGAGAATTTTTCTTGATATTAAGGGCTTGTTCATGCGCTGAAAGTGCTTTTGAGTATTCGCCCATGTTACCATACACATCACCGATATTATGGTAGCAAATAGCCAAATCAGGATGGTTCGCATCGAGAGACTTTTTCTTGATATCAAGTGCTTTTTCGTGCATTGAAAGTGCTTCTGCATACTTGCCCATTTTATTATATATCTCTCCAATGCTGTTGTATGAAGAACCCAAGTCGAGATGATTCGGAGCGAGATATTTTTGACGAATATCAAGTGCTCTTTTAACGTATAAAAGTGCTTTTGAGTAATCGCCCATGTTTTTATATACCAAACCAATGTTGTTGTAAGAATAAGCTATGTCGGAATGGTTTGGAGATGGAGATTTTTCCTTGATATTCAACGCTTGTTCATGCGACAAAAGTGCTTGTGAGTACTCGCCCATGTTAGAATACACCTCTCCGATATTATTGTAGGAATCAATCAAATCGGGATGGTTTGAAGAGAGTGACTTTTCACGAATAGACAGCGCCCGTTTTTGCAATGAAAGCGCTTTCGGATATCTGCCCATCTTCGAATACACCTTTCCGATGTTATTGTAGGAATCAGCTAAATCGGGATGGTTCGGAGGGAGAGAATTTTTCTTGATATCAAGTGCTTTCTTGTACGATGAAAATGCTTTCGAATACTTGCCGCTGTTATAATACACATTAGCGATATTGTTGTATGAACAGGCCAAGCTCGGATGGTTTGGAGGGAGAGATTTTTGACGAGTATCGAGTGCTTGTTCATGCAATGAAAGTGCTTTCACGACCTCCCCCATATCAGAATACACCTGTCCGATATTGTCGTAGGAATCAGCCAAGGCAGCACCATTAGGATTGAGATATTTTTTTTTGATATCAAGTGCTGTTTCGTATGATGAAAGTGCTTTTGTGTACTCCCTCATGCTAGAATACACCCCTCCAATGCTGTTGTATGAAGAACACAAGCCAGCATGGTCCGAACGGCGAGATTTTTGTCGGATAGCCAGTGCTTTTTCGTGCGATGCGAGTGCTTTCGAGTACTCGCCCATATCAGAATACACTTCCCCGATGTTGTTGTAAGAATCTGCTAAATTGTGATGGTTCGGAGGGAGACATTTGTGGCGGATATCGAGGGCTCGTTCAGCAAATAAAAGTGCTTTCGAGTACTCGCCCATGCTTTTATACACCAGACTAATATTGTTGTAAGAAGAAGCCAAATCGGAATGGTTTACGGGGACAGCTTTTTCCTTGATATCGACTACTTTCTCGTACGATGAAAGTGCTTTGGAGTACTCCCCCATGGCAGAATAAACCTCTCCAATGTTATCGTAGAAATATACCAAGTCAGGGTGGTCTGGAGGCAGCGATTTTCGGCGAATATCAAGTGATTGTTCGTAAAACTTAAGTGCATTTGTGCAATCGCCATTGTCATAGTACATTCTACCGAGTTGAAAATTGTAATTTGCTTGATCTTTATCAGAACATAATTTCTTTTGAAGTAGAATCTGATAAAGTTGTTCTGCTTGTGCAGACTTTCCCGCTTTAATAAATATTTCACCCAACCGAAGCCATGTTGTTGTCCCACTAAGCTTCTCACGTATGGATGCCGTGAATGTATTCAAATCATTATTGTTGTTACCCATGAGGGTGAGATTAACTTGCCATAGGCGATCAATATGATCTTCATGGATTCGTTCAATTTTATCGATGCGAAAAATTGTGTGTGTCGAGAAAAGAAATTCTTCCTCTTTGTCTTCGAAGAAACCGAGGTTTTTTACGTTGACAAAGGGAATCGACAATGTTGTGCAGAGTTTTGGATCGATCGTCATAATAAAGAGTACACCAACTAAATCAGGCTCACTTGCTGCCGGACGTGCAAAATTGCTCAGCTGAAAATGACGATTGCGACTTGTTGAAAGGAAATTGTTGAAAGACATAAGTCCTCCTTCTGTTTTTGTCAATTTTTCAAAGCCTTGAATAGATAAACCCTGACCTCGAAATACTTGAAATGGAATTGTCGGTATTGTCGTCATGGACTGTTGTTCGCGATGTAATTGTTCAATATATCGATGTAAGTCTCGAATAAAAAAACCAATTTTGAGTATCATATCGACATCCAATAATCGGAGAGCTCGATTAAGTATCGAATAAATAAAATTTGGAGCCGTATACCACCAAAGATATGTATGAAGACGATATTCTCGTTCAATCTTTGCAATCTGGTCTTCAGGAATCTCACCTTGAACACGACAGTAATCAACAAATTCTTGGATGGATTTAACGTCATTATCATCAATTTTCAAAAGAACTTCCTTAAATAATTGTGTATACATAAAAAAATCATCAATGCCATGGAAACTCATCGAGATCAAAGTTTGATCACATCGTTCACAATCGATTCTTAATGCTGTATAAATCGGTTCGAGTCGTGTATATACACCTTTTACCTTTGATATTGTTTTACTCCAACGTTCATGAACTGATGGATTGCCACAGAAGATATAAGTAGAATATAATTGTGGCAAACCATTAATTTCTGGCATTAAATCACGTCCGAGTGAGCCAGATACAATTATAAATACTTTTTCGTCATTAATTTGATTGAGAAAATCAATGCATTGGTGGACATCTGTAAATATCGTGACGGATATTACAATGTGTCGTAAGTATTGTATTATTTTCTTATATTCATCTTTAGATTCGTCTAAATTTGAATCAAGCCAGACAAGTCGAAAATTTTGTAGAGCCTTACGAACATGTTGGAATCGCACGGTTTTTGCGCTTGTAGCCTTCGCTGTTATTGCTGGTGATCCGCTACTGGCAGTAACAACATCGGTTGTGGATATTGACAATGGTTTCTTAGATCTATTTATAGTAGACGGAGAGAGTGAGTTATTAGCAGCAGTTGTTAATTTGTTTTGATTCATGATGGATGAATAGATAGATATAACAAGTAAGGTTTTGTTTTCCTCTCTGTATGTATATTTTGTCGTTACTTCCTTGTATTGATACTTGTTTTTGGTCGATTGCTATAGATGTATATTTATTGTGTTTTGTCAGTATAAGGACTTCTTTTAGTTCACTTGTTTTAAAAATGCCGACGAAACAACAACAAAGTATCTATATATCAAGCAAGGAAAGAAGAATAAGAACGATAATGAATGCATGAATGCATCATCATTCAATGAGAAAAAAAAACGAAAAGACATAAATAAAATGAATGACTACTGTTTTTATTTCTTTGGCTTTTTCCTATATAGTAGTAGATATGTACATACATACAGCAAGCAATTAGAGAAGAAAGAGCAGACTATAATATACACGTGTTTGTTTTGTTTGATTCATTCGAATCAACAAGATGCAAAATGTGAATAAAAAGAAAGATATCATTCATTGATTGCTTGATTTTATACAGGTAAATTGCCCACTATACGACTCACTTGTTATCGTTATTCGAAAAAATAAAAGGAAAAAAAGTTTTTTTTATATAGTTTACTAGACATTTGATCAATTTTTTATTACAATCGTTGATTATTTGAGATTCCTTTGGTATCTTTTATTTTTTACATTATTCGAGGACGGCGAAGGCAAAGAATTTATCGTTTCACTTTTAATTAAACCATTTATTTTCATTTATTCGTATAACTAGGTTTATTTAATCCATTTGTATATTTGATTGTAAAAATAAAATTGTTTGTATCACGTATAGACTACTGGTTTCTTGGTTATTACTCAGTAGAGAGAGGTCGTTGTCATGCTGATTGAAACCATATAGACTTCAATTATTATTCATATGTAAAGAAAAATTTCCATTAAACGTGGGATACTTATGCAATGAATCAAGCAACGTATATCATTGTCATATCATCGTTGGCATCACTTGTTCTAAAATCAATTTCAAATTTCTTTAGCAATGAGCACGCATTGCGTTTGTAATTATCCTTACTCTTAATAAATTCTATGAACCAGAATAATAATAAAAAAACTAAAGAAAAATATATCTTTATAAGACTAAACTAATCAACCGGAAAAGCGTTACATCAAGTAGCATACATGTTTTTGAGCTTGAACTAAGTGAACTTGTAGACGTCAATAATTCTACATCATCTGAAAAAAAGTAACTATGCTTCCACCATCGGTGCATGAAATTTTCTAATTTTTTTTTCTTCTCACAACTTTGCATTAGAGTATTCATCGTTTAGCAGAAACAATCTATCCAGTAATTCATTAATACCTTTTTTTTTGAGCTGGGTCATCTTTAAAATCCCTTAGTATATACTGTTTGGTTTCGTCAAAATGAAAACCAACCTTGGTTCTATGAAGTTCATCTATTTTTCAAAGCAAGTGGTACTTAAATGTAATGACGAGAATCTATTCAACACTAAATGCGATAATAAAGAGACTATTATGCATATCACTATTGCGTTGTCTTCTTACAATGTAATTATTTTCGAGATATGATTTAGTTTACTGCCATTCCCATGGTTACAATTCATGTGTCGTTTAATAACAGCTGCTAATAAATATTGTTTCTTTCATATTTCGCTGAGTCCTTCTGCTGGTTTGCTTATGATGAAAGACGTCTTTATTCTTTGTTTCTGGTGAAATCTTATATGAAAAATATCTTATCAAAGTTCGCACGTTGTTATTCTAACAAAAGTTGTGGTATCATTTGATACTCCTAATATTTTGTTTCGTGACACTTGCAGTATAGTGGTAGTGATAGACGAAGACGACGACGATGCTCCTAAACATGATCATATCTGGATCTTCTTGTTATTTGTACTTCGATGATGAGATTTTCAAATATATTTTTAGTAATTCTGCACAACATTAAGACAGCACGATTTTATTGAGTCAAGCAGTAAATTTTAACATTTGTGAATTATTCTTCAAATGTAAATGTATCTAGTCCTTTTGATTTCTCTTTCACTAAAATACGAAGGAATAAAAGTCTTGCAAACTATGACCAGTTTGCCAAGCAAACTGTCCAACTAGAATGCTGATTTTACTTTTCGATGAATAATATCACATAAATTTCTAAGGATGAGATCTACAGAGTGCTATTCATCTTACAGACCATAGGGGTGTAGATTGTAATAGAGAAATCCTACTACGATCGATTTTGCCTTTGCTTAAGGGACTTAATAGATTTTATTTGGATTTAACAGATTGTAATAATGAAGACATATGGTATGGATGAATGTGTGGATAAGAGTGAGCAGATAAAAGATCGAATAGTTGGCTCACGTACTCATACCCTATTACAGCCGTGTCCCTTTAAGTGACTTTAAGGTTTTTGATCCCCTGTCGCTTCCTTTTCTGTATGAGATTCCCAAAAAAAACTTCTTAGAATTAGTCCGAAATATCAAGTTTGCCACGCTGATGACTTATATCATTAGTACAAGTTTTTAAAATGTAACGCTGAAAGTTGAAGTAGCTTTTATCTACATGCAGGGTTTAGGTTCCACACTAGAGTTTTTGACCCTTTTCTCGCATAAATTAACTTCTAAAAACCCCAACAATATACTCTTTTCATGCAACTTTTAGCGATCTTCCAGAAGACGCGTGAATGAAGTTCATTAGAAATGTGTTTTTGACGATGAAATAGGGCGAGAGTGACATTAGGGTAAACAAAAGTGTCTCTGGTCAAAGGATACCCAGTGGACTATACATTGTTGATCTTTAAGCGATTAACTTTTTCGTGTTTTCAATCACTTGTACCCAATACTTTTACCGAGCATTTGTGTCTCGAACATGCATAGATAGCTTAACTAGATATTTGACCTAAAAAATATATCTTTTTGTCTGGTCGAAAAGTCGACGTATTTGTAATTTTCTTCAAAAAAAGGGTAAATTAATTTCACATTTGCACAAATATATTGTATTTGTACGTAGGTTTGTGTTGATGATCAATGGATTTTATGATGAAAAGATGATGACAAGTAGAGCATGTTGTCAGTAAAAGAACCCTACAAGAAATCGCATCGATAATTTTTTCTTTTAAAATCATCATTACTTCACTAAAATTTCTAACATATGTTATTTGATAATAGACAAAAGTGAACATTCGACTTTCGACCTTAGATTTTGAGAATAATGCATTAAAAATATCGCTGATGACTTTTTAGTGGCTAGCCTATGTAAGAAAAGAGTCAAAAACTGATGTAGGACTTTAAATCTGGATCAAGGTAATAGCGACTTCACATTTCAGCATTACATATCTGATACTTTAAGCATTGATATGCGTCATCAACCTGACGAACTTGATACCCCTAGCTAATTATGAGAAAGTTTTCTTGGAATTCCATGAGGAGAGAGACAAGAGATCAGAAATCTTTAGGTCATTTCAAGGAGAATGGCTATGCTATTCTCAGATAGTTCTGTCTTGAAAATATTTTGGACAGAAGAATGTGCTTTTAAATACAGAAGAACATTGTCTAAGAAATCAAGATTAAATAAAAACTAAAGAACCGTTTCATTTTTATTTTTTGACAACAAAAAAAAACAAACTTTGATTTAATTTAATCTCAACTTTATTAAATGCTTCAAATCATTTCGTTCCATATACGAATTCATATCGCCATCAATATTTTTTTTCTTTGAGTTTATTTTAATTAGATTATATAGTTTGATTAAAATATTCCATTCAATAGTGGTAAAAGGTGAATTGTACTAGGAAAATAACTTTTACAGTATATTTTCTTAAAACAAACACATGCAACACTGAAGGTGAACAAATGAAATATATGTGAGATTATAACTCCATACACAATTACGATTGTAGACTAATATTTTCATCCACAGAAGGTACAGTGCGTGCTGTACTATGTTGTTCAGGCCATTGCCATATTTTTGGACCAAAATATTCATATGATGTATCATACAATTGCATGCGAATAAATTCTTCTTTGTCGTCAGGTTCTAAATATTTCATAAAAATCAAAATTAAATTTAAAAAACAGAAAAAAAAAACAACTTTCATTTTACCTGGATAATTCCAAGCTTTTTTTGTTGCATAAAGATGTTTAGCTAGATCTGCGGCTATTTTAACTGTTACGTCATGTATTTTTGGTATAGGTGGATAAACACGGCCATCATTCAAATCTTCTTCGCTAACTAATGAGCCAAGTTTCTATTTCAATAAAAGATTAAATTTTAACAATCATTAATAATGAAATAATTAATAAAATTCGTTTACGTTGAAAAATCTTAGTTAGAAAATCTGTTACTCTTTTTTGAATAGCTTTACATATTGCATTTTATATAAAAGCATATAGTCTTTTAGTTTCAAATTTAGGCTTAGGAATGATTTTTGTGATTAGAGTTTCGAAACCGAATTTTTATTATTTTATCACCATATTTAAATGTTTGTAAGAGGATACTTTAGATTATTTGATGGAATAATATTACTTATGGATCATCTGACTAGCCATTTATGCAAAAATCGAAATAATATCTGTGTGTGTGACATAAGCTTTTCAAATTTATATATTTCACATAGATCATAATCAATTTATAGAGAAATGTAACATCGTGAATGTTTCGTCTGCTTCGATAGTGATATCAACATCTTCATCTTAGTCGTTTTTATTGGCTTCTCAGTCATTCTTTACATTCTTAATATGATGTAAAGATTCTATGGACAAAAAAATCATTGTTAATAAGCTGTGGGACTATCTATGAATAAATATACTTCTTTTTGTGGCTATCTCAACTAATAATTGTCCTGCTCAACACCATTGCTTGTGAAAATTTAGTGTGTAAAACAATGATCATATTTTCCGAATAAGAACAATTATTTAAACTGATATTCATAAACTAAAGCTGCTATAGATAAGTAAATATTCAAACAAGAAAAATACAACAAACACGTAGGAGTCATATAGAAAAAAAGTCAATATAAGATAAGTAGCAAATGTGCATA